CGTACACGTACACTTAAATGAGCATGATTATCGTATTTATATTGTTTCACGTTTATGTTGAGAAAAACAATAATATCCACATGCAGGGGCGCCACCAGCAATTTATGCAGCCAAACGCGCTGCGCTGACAGACGATTCAAAGACACAAAGATAACGGTCATGGTGTTTCTAACAGCAAGTTTCTAACAGTACTTTGCGTTTTCTGTTCTTAAACCGGTCTCCCTCAATGAAACTTAAGGGAAGTATTTGTCTAAAAAAAATCATTTTGCTATGAGATAAGTTATCATCTCGGATCACTCGCGCTACAGCTGCGCTTACCTGCAGTCGTAATGATGGACAGCTGTCTTTCCTCAGTCGCCTGCTGTTTGGATTTCATGTGATTTCTCATTGTGTTGATGATATTATAACTCAGATTAATTAATTAATTTGATCAAAAGTAATTCCATTCTGTAAGATCATTTAGTAACATCATTTTCAACAAGTAGTCTAATTCCAAACTTCGCGAGGCAGACGACGACGACATTATGTGATCAAATACAAACAACTTGTTAAACACGCGCCACAGCGCCACCCAGAGGATTTAATTATAACTGCGAGTTAGTGCTTGGGATTTATCAGGGATTCACTGCATTTACGGCCAGCAAAGCATTTAGGCCACGGCTTCTTAAATTCGATAAAATTCGAATAATATTTTATTTTTCGAATAATAATTACAGATCGAATATTCGAAAATTCGAATATTCGTGCACATCCCTACTGAAAATGACAATAAATTTGCAACATCTTTGCGTAGAGCGGAGACATTGCATTAAGCCGTGAAAGTAACAACTGTTCCTCAAGCGGCTTTCTGTGCGTGCGCTCCGAGACGAGAACACGGACATGCAAAGTGAGCTTTGAGCTTCGGGTTCTCGCCTAAACTATTAAATGCATGCACACAGAAATATGTCAAAATGCCCAGCTTGGTGAGTATTAGGTATGTGATGGTGAGGATATTTTCCCACCTGTTAATCAACGTGTGAGAACACTGGTACCGGTATCACCGGCGGGGGCTTTTAAATCGCTAGTGATTTAAAGGGTAACTAAACACTAAAACTACTTTTTTTAGTTAATGATCTGTAAGACATGGGGCTTTATTAGTGCTGTTCATTGATTCGAGTAACTTTTTTGACATTTGGGTATAAAGTGTTTTAATTCTACAATATATGGTGTAAAAACTCTGAGTGCTGCCCTCTTCAGGTTGAACGGTGGCTACTGCACTTGAATTTTCCTATTGGATGTTTGCGGTAGTTCGTGACGGTAGCGGTGAGAGCTGACGTAAGCAGGTTTCAGCTTAACACGCCCTTGGTACGAGCTACCACGCCCATGGCAGTATAAAAACCATCTTGTTTCGTCAAAACCACTGTAGCGAGTCAGGAGTTGGAATTGCGAGTATTGAAAACGATCAGGATAGAGTATCCGTTCATCCCCTCTATCTCCGCTGGGCTCCGCCCACTTTTCCAGCATTTTTCAAATATTGCCAGTGGGTGGAGTCAGGCTCTGACCAGGGGTTTAGTTACCCTTTAAAGGCGAAAGTTAAATCCGCAGGACAGGTCCGCACAGGCATTCATAATTGTGCGGAGCAGAGCGAGCGTTTTCAGTTCATTCCTATGTAATGAACGCTCTGTTCTGCTCGCTCCGCACCCGTGGACATGTGCGGCCGTGCGCATTTTATGGTGCTTTTCCACTGCATGGAACGGTACGGTTCGGTTCGGTATGGCACGCTTTGGCGCTTTTCCACTGCATGGTACAGTACGGCTCGGTTCGGTACGGCTCACTTATGGCGCATTTCCACTGCATGGTACGGTATGGCTCGCTTCGGCTCGCTTTAAATGGTACCTGGTCTGTTGAGGTTCCAAGCGTACCGTACCGATACTAAAATGTGACGTGAAAACACTACAGATCACTGATTGGTCAGACAGACAGAATCGTCACTATCAGCGTCATTGTATTTGCGACACGAGACACTAAACCCACTAGATTTAAATAGCCAGTAGACAACAGCCACCACTTTAGCACCTGTTTTAAAACTACTTGCTTGACTTGCTTGAAGAAAAAAGAAAGAAAGAAAACTTCCATAAAAAAGAAAAAAGCTGAATCGTGGTCAGTGGACGAAGTGCAGACGTTCGTCTCGTTGGTTGCCGAGGAGCGGATAAACTATAACGGTCCGACTATAATCCCACCCACTTTGAAGCGGTACTAACTGCAGTGGAAAAGCAAACCGAGCTAAAGCGAGCCACGCCGTGCCGTGCTGAGCCGAGTCGTACCAAGCAGTGGAAAAGCGAAGCGAGCCGAACCGTGCCGCGCCGAGCCGAACCGTACTGAGCCGTACCAGCAGTGGAAAAGCGCCATTAGTTTCGCTTTCAAATTAGCGCCAATTTGGGGGCGGATTGCTTGAATGGTGAGTTCATTAGCCTATTATTCTTGATGAATAACACAACAACAAAACAGTACAATGACAAATTCGCTTAAATAGGCGCTTTTACATTTCGCTTTGACACCAAATATTCTGCCATTACCTCGTCAGTCAGATCCTCACTCTCGTGATAAATGAAATCTGACTCATGCTGCTGATCTGTGCTTCGGCTCTCGTTCAGCTCACGATTTATTAAGCAGACACGTTCAGTTTTTAATTGTAGTGACTGTTCTCTTTGGATTGGATTGGATTGGATCTGCGCATTTAGCCTTCGAGTGAAAGCAGCCTAATATTCCTTCTCCCGTCTGTGTCATTAAGGTTAATCAAACAACAAATGACAAAGGCTACGTTCACACTGTCAGTCCAAATCCGATTATTTGTGAATCCGATTGGAATCTGATCTAATATTATTGATCACAACTGTTCAGATCCGATTTGTGTGTGCATGCAGCTCTTTCGTTTTCCGGAATATCTGCATTGGTTTCTATGGCAATGACGTTACGTTGGTAGGCATACAGCAAAAGAAACAACCGCAACGTGGAGGGGTTTGCAATCGAGATGTTGTCTTATTTAAATTTTACAACGTGATAATGTGTAGCCGTACACTGGACTGTGCGTTTTCCGGTTTCAAAACATGTCTGGATATTGTCATTTTTTGCTCATCCGGCATTTTGCAACGACACACCATTGTTTCGGCAGCGACTTTCAGCATGTTTACTATAACAACGTCTGACGTTTACATTTTACGTGTCATGAGAAAGTCACACAAACCCAAGGGGGTAATCCATCAGCCGGAAACTGAAGTCTCCCCGGGGGCCGCCATTGGCTACCAAGCCTTCACCTGCTGTTAGCATTCCATTGACTCCCATTCATTTTGGCATCACTTTGACAGCGAATAACTTTACATCTGAGGCGTTTAAAGACTCCATTTGTCCATTGTTTATTTCTAAAGAAACACGACAATGTATAAAAGGCTCCATTACTTTGTATCTTACATTATGGCTTATAGAAGCAGCTTTTGTAAAAGTAGGCTAACGATTGCGTCATAACCATGCGACTCTCTGTCGCACAGTTGAGAAATTACCGCATAGACTGGAGGAGAAGCTCACGGGCAATCGGGGGGACAAGGGAGAAGCCCATAGAGAGTCATAAAGTTGATCCTGCTGCGAGCTCATGGACGCTCTCCGTCTCTGCAAGATTCGGAAGGGAATGATTCAGATTCCTCTTGGCCCAGCTACTAGAAGACTTACAACTGTCAGACAGGTTGCTCACGTCACATCAACTTCGTCAAGCTTAGTTTGAGCCTGCGCAGTCGCTCAGCCATCAGGAAGTGAGTGCTTCTAATTGACTTCACTTTTCTCTGTTGAAGTCTATGGGGTCGCTGTGTCCATTTCTTTTACTGTCTATGCACAAACCACGCGAAATTCGTGGTCAGACTGAAACGAATTTCCATGCAGTATTGCGATTTGAATAGGATTTCAAACCACATATGGATGTAGCCTGAAACGGATTTTTACATTTCATGTGATTTTTTTCTCCTTTTTTTTCTGTTCACATTAGCTCATTCTGATCGGATTTCAATCGGATATGCACAAAAATCTGATTTTGACTGATAGTCTGAACGTAGCCATAGAAAAAAAAAATCACTCACTGCTATTTAGTAGGGTTAATCTATATTTACTTAATACAGTGAAGACTATGCAGTGTTGTTTTACATTTGATAACTGTCTGTTGATAAAGTCTGTTCTGTTATTATTTTTATTCATAATTTTACAGGAATGCTATATTTGTTAAGCTCTGCTGTTCCTAATCACCTCAAAGATAGGGAAGGGAATATATTACACATAGCTCACCAATAAATAAAGAGTTGCCAATTCATGATAATCTCTTATTTTTTATGTAGCCTACTTAAAATACATTGGTGTTAAGAATAATTGGCCTATTATTTATTTTGATGGTGATCGGTATCGGCCAATACTGCTTTCAGTAATCGGTAATCATTGAATTTGACCCAAAAATCCCGCTCGGAGTACCTTTACTATTCTGTGTGCCATAATGTAGCTGTCATGGTGTCCGTTAATCCGCTGCATCACCTTGCTGGTCTTCATGCTGAATATTTCAGTAGGAAACAGAGAGCTGTGTGTGTGTGTGTAAGGCAGTGTTTCAGTGCATTTGTCAGTCTGTGTTACTTTCTCTATAAGGGCCTGAGAGAGAGCGAGAGAGGGAGAGGGCGAGAGAGAGCAAGACAGACCTGTAGAGAGACAGTGGCAGCATCAGCATCAGCAACTAGAGCAGTCGTGTCTCTCAGGCTTAAGGAGGAAGAGAGCCGGCCGTTTCTGTGGATTACAGGAGCGTCAGTATAAGCTGGGCTGGACTGGAAGAGTTTTGGCTCATCCCTCTCTTTCCTTTCAATCTGTCTTGCCGCATCTTGCAGCTTTTACTGTGTCTGTCACTCTTCCCACCGCATGCTGTATTATCTGAGAAGATTCAGAGGAGATGTGTGGGGTGTTAGCTGTTAGCAGCACTGAGTACTGAGAGAGAGAGAGAGAGAGAGACACAGAGGAGAAGAGGGGAGAATGCCGGCCCCCCTCAGGACGAGAAGGGGGGCTTGTAGGTCGGCTATCCCGTCTCTCTCCACCATCGCTGAGGAAGAGGAGGGACAGCGCAGTCGCAAGAGACGCAGGAAAGGAGGAGGTATGTGGGAGGTCAGGATAGGAAAGATTAAAAAACTCTCTGGGGTTTTGCTCTCAGGGGTGCCTAGCTAATAATTGGCCTATTAAGAGGGTTTGTTTGCATGTATTGATATCAGCTTTTGTTGTTGTTGTTAAAAGTTGTATTTTTGACTTTGAACTGGTTGGTAGGATCAGATAATGGCATAGAAGTGCAGGGTTAAAGATGTGTGAATATTTTTTATATTTTATTATGCTTAATTAAAGTCATGATGATAAATGATATATAATTAGTACATACATTTTTTGCTTAAGTAAATTTAAAAGATATATTCCATGTAGTCTCTCAAAATAACATGTCACTATTGTAAAAATGCAACAAAAAAAACTAAATGGTGAAACTTTGAAACCGTGAACAGTTATATAATCTAAAATAATATATTTAATCTCTATAAATTTTAGTCTTGATGAAAACCAAAGTGCATACAATTCAAAATCTTTTGAGAATTCAGGACAACCTCATTTAGTGCCCTGATTCATGTGCGTAATTAAAGTGTGGCCTTTAATACTCATCTGCTAATGTTTTGTGTCTGTCTGCATTGGCAATTTCTTTAGTCTTCTATGGCTGTGTGTCAACTAAGTGAGCTACCAGCCGAGACAGCAGTTTTAGACATCAAAGATGTGAAGCTTAAAATGGCAATCTAGTTAGGCAGCTCACAAGGCTTTGAGATTGAGACACACCCTTTGCTCTTAAACACTCATGCGTTTGACCTAAATACAAAAATGCTACATTTTTAAATGTTTGCTTGCTTTACTTAGTTAATATTAGTTTTTTTAGTATCCTTGTAAGCTAATTTCTGCTAGTATCTGTGTACATACACAAATATCATTGTCAGTTTTGTGAGTACAGAGTACAGAAAATGATGTCAGTCTATGGTGAGCGTTAACATCATATCTATTACACTGAAGAGGCGAAAAACACATTTACCCATCTTGAGTGTCTAGCGTTTCAGCACCACTTCGACTGAGCAGGAAAAGATTTTTGCTCTCTTTTTTTTGTTAGGTGTGGCTGTTTTGCCCCACCCATTGTCGCCACAGTGGCAGATGACTGTCAAGTTGGACTGGATGTCCTAGGCTGTGGGTGGGTCACATGACCACCGGTAGGAGGAATGTAAACAGCAGCTCGGTTAGCTGACTGGAAGCCTCAACATAAAGGTGGATAACGTTCAGACTGAGACTAAAAGCTGTATGTAATAATTAGGGATGTAGATTAATGCCAGTATTCAATATTTACATTTCTTGGTCTGAAATGACAGATCTCTTTCATAGAAGAATCACTTATGTAAGCTTTCTAATGACAATTAGCCTAAACCACCTCACATTTAACATGTAAATCTAACACAAGTGCATGTGGTTGTTTGCTCTTCAACCTATGAGGAATGACTCTTCACATGCTCAGATTTTGGTCACAAGACTGTGCAGTGTGGCTCAGCTGGGTCAAAAATCCCTCAGATCTCAAAGCACTGCTGCCTCACTTGAGCTAATGCTTCTGTTGCTCTAGTGAGTGACTCTCAACCCTTTTGTCTCCAAAATCGGAAATGCCACTTGATGATGGCCAAGCACACACACAGCTGATGCGAATTCTCCGCCCCCTCGTCAATATCAGGACCTCGTCAGTATTTCTTTCACCCTTTTATTGATGGATAGTGGTACATTGTGTGAGAGATTATTTGTTCCAAGTGAGAATGTTAGTGTGAAATTGAACACAGTATATGCCAATGTTGTTTTCAATAAAAAGCATTTGCACAAAGCAAGCCGATCCACTTTTCCATGTTGATAAGAGCATTAAAATGAGAAAAAAATAATGGGACAAAAAGAAATCAAGAGACATTTAGAATAGATAAAAATGTGCGATTAATTGCAATTAATCGCGAGTTAACTATGACATTAATGCGATTAATCGCGATTTAAATATTTTAATCGTTTGACAGCACTAATTAAAACTTAGTAAAACTAGTCAAATATATAGTAAATTCACGAAATTTAAAAAAAGCAATGGAGTTATAAGATTTTACTCATTTACTTGACTTTTCCAGGTCTATGGAAATCACATGTTTAAAATTAGCCTTCCTCATTTATCAAGTTTTTTCAAGACAGTGGGAACCCTGTTTTTGAAAGGGAAAAAAAACAAAACACAGTTGTTGAGGGGGTGAAAAAAAAAAGAAATTGATTTTTAGTTATAGTATTTTAAGTCATTTTGAGGCTCCCATTTCTGAGGCCTCCTAATGGGCCCCCGGTTGAGAACCACTGCTCTAGACATTACAAACACTTACACTTAGGCTAAATAAAACTGAAATTTTGATATGTGATTATCAAATCACAAAGGATACAATGTGCATTAAATGAATGCATGCGCTGTGTGTAAAGTGAAGCGTGGCACTGTGTTTTTTCTGCACAGGCAGCTCATGATCTGGTTTTTCCAGTGTCTCAGAAGGGCTTTTCACTCTTGAATAGTTAACCCTGGGTCATTCTAAAACCCAGGTAAACAGAATCCTGGGTTATCCTGTTTCATGTTTCACAATGCTCATAATTTACCTCGGGTTAACAATCAATCCTGGGTATTCATAAGTTGACATTCACACTGTTCATCCCTAAACCCTTGTTTAACGTTCTTATTTGAGGTGTCAGTGACATTGATTGGAGGAATGCAGCACGCGACCTGTTTACATAAGTTATAGCATTGCGCATCTTAGTATTAGTAATGGTCTCTTCTTCACTCAAATTGTCTCAGTTTCAGTCAGCATTTGACATTTCTCCTTTCAAAAGCTGAATTTACTGTTTATGCGGGCTACCAATGCAGTGTTACCTTGACTGTCCAAAGCACGCAAATATGAGTACTGCCATCGAAATGGGGGGTTAACACTTCAAAAGTGGTAGGGTTTCATAACCCTGGGTAAAAAGCATTGCTAAAGCCCTATTCGGACGGGACTAGTTTAACATGGAGAGGTGGCGTAATGTAATTTTACCACAGGACGTCTGTAATAATAATGGCCAATTCGCACGGGATAACATATCTCAGTAAAACTAGAAGAAGTGGGAGGGGTAACAACTAGATTTACGCACTGCCGTCACCACCCTGTCTTCATGTGTGTCTTACGTTGCTTCCTGATCATGTGCACAAACACATATATTTGTATATATAAAACAGTTAGGTCTGGTCGGATGTATTAAATAAATATAGATTGTATTATGTTGGTAATAGGCACTTATCTAATGCAAAAAAAAGTTGTGTGCCTCTAAAAAGTGATCTGCATAGTGACTTTGGGTCACTTAATGTGCATTTGAGAACACACAACATGTGCCAAACATCTTCCAAATCTTCTAATGAGAATCACTTGTAAACCAGCTGTTGTCAACAAAAGAGAAGCTATAGTGGTTTTCTGCCAAAATAAAAGCTTGATGGTTTAATGTTTGAAAATGAAGAAATTTAGACCTAATTAAGCGATACATATTAGTATTGTTCCAGTGTAAACTACATTTAATTTAATTTTATTTTTCTTAAATACTCGATTTTTTTATTTTAAAGGTAAAATTTTAAAATAGTGTAAGTAAAAGTTTATTTTTTCATAATATTTGATTTTATTTCTATTTAATAAACTTTCCCCAAATCGTGCAGCTTTAGTTTTTCAATAATTGAAAAAGGACAGGTATTTGACCTACTTCTGTTGGCTGTTGTGTGAACAGGACATTTCTAGAATCACGCTTGTTTGTATGCAGTGCTCAACCCCAAATACTGAATGTTAACTTAGCCTTATTCTGTACTGTTATTCTGTGTTGGTATGCTACGGTTTCTCTCTTGTTCAATTCCCAAAGTGTTCACTGGATAAACTAGCACCCCGTTGTTTAGCAGGGGAGGCAGGGCAGTAAATCTAGTCAGTACACTAAATGTGTCTAGTGTTCATTGATCACTTGCTGAGAGAAAAACTGCATTCAACATAAGATTCAAATGTTAATAGGTCTACTTTATTGATCCCAATGTCAAAATCCAACTCAAAAAGACTGTCATTTCACATTGTTTTGATGAGTCATAATAACTGAGAGGCCTGAATGTTTGGTGGCTTAAAATCCCGCAGATGTTGTCACACACGCTCTGGAATAACAAATAGTGTTAAATTGCGTTCTTTCTGAGTTGTCTTGTACTGGTTGGTTAGGGTAAGGCTCTCTTCCTCTCTCTGTAAGCTTAGCATTAGCCACTGCTAAGCTGCTCAGATCTCTGAGCCTTCCCGCTCCGATACACACACACACACACACACACACACACACACACACACACACGTATCTGGTGCCATGTGGAGAATTGCACACTAATCGCTGATCTCTCTCTCTCTCTCTCTCTCTCTCTCTCTCTCTCTCTCTCTCTCTCTCTCTCTCTCTCTCTCTCTCTCTCTCTCTCTCTCTCTCTCTCTCTCTCTCTCTCTCTCTCTCTCTCTCTCTCTCTCTCTCTCTCTTTAATCTTGCATATTTTTTTCTGCAATCACACACAATTGTGATTTGTAATCTCACTTTTACATGCTCAAAGCGGGGGATCTACTGTCTCCTCTTGATCGGTCTCAGATTGAAGGGGTGTGGTGAAAGTCTCATCCATGTCTCCATCACATTGTCCTCTCTTTTATTTGTCAATGAATCAGCACACACATTTTCGTCAGCCTGTGATGGATGTCACGTCCTTTGGACTTTTGTGTATGCGTGAGGTTGGGTCTGATGTATTGGATTAGGATTTCTTCCTTGGCAATGTAGACGAGTTTTGCATGGGCTTTTCCAAAATTCTCCAAAACCATGAGTGAAATTCAAGGTAAGAGCTGTCAGTGATGTGCAGTTCACCGTTTCCTAGAGCAGGGGTTTAAGCTTTTTAATGCCAAGATCCCCCGAATATGAAACTCTTCCTAAAATATAAAGGCTAGGCTATATTAATGCATACAGACCCATTTATATTGTGTGTGGACAAATCGTAAGCATGAACAACAA